CTTTATAGGGCTGCACTGTAGCGTGTAGTCTCCTGGGAGTGGGGCAGTGGTGGGAGTGACGTCCTCTATATCCCTACCTAAAGGTAAGCCTTCTGTTGGCGAAGCTGTAAGTGCCACGCATGAAGCCAGCAAGGGCTGTGAGCATGACCTGGGTCTTAGCTTTCTTCCCTTCCACGGGGCATGTCTCAGCCTCCTTCCTGTGCTTTCTCCACACATCCTGGGCCAGGCACACAGACACTTGGCGACTGGCGGCTCAGACGGCAGTGCCTCGGGGCGCATGGATGGGCACTGCAGATGGACGGTAGGGCCTGGGGCTGAGTCTCCCATGAATGGGCAGGAAGTGCCTTGGAGCCCAGGGAAGGAGGAGAAGAAGTGGCCGGGAAGGAGCAGAGAGCTGTGTCTTGGAGGCCGTGCAAGACACTGAGAGGTCGGAAAGGACCCTAGGCTTGAGAGGCCTTGAAAGAACCTCGAGAGAAGGACAGATGTCTCTTCCAGCTGCGGCCTTCAGCACAAGCGCTGCGAGGTGCCATGACATTTGGGCCTCACAGAGGTCGAAGCTGATGACTACAGGGCTGTAACTGTTACCCCCACTCCCAAAGGTGTGATCTACACATTTTGCATCTACCAAAGTGGTCTTATTGTCCCCGCTGGGTCAAAGGTAAGTTTCATCTAATGGAACGTCCCCAAACTCCTTCTTCTGTCCATTTCAGGAACAAGAACTGCATGAGTACAGCACCGAAAGTTAAAAATCATTTCTTGCCAACGGCACCGGACATTGCTCCGTTGTTTCTGGGTGTTGCTCTGAAGCCAAGAAGCCTGATGCTATGTGGAACAGTTACAGCAAGAAAAGGGAAGACGAGGGAGCGAAGAGGGGAAGAGATTCCGCTTTTACTCTCCTTGTACTCTTGTGCAACTTTCAACCTGGAGATTGTTAGATTTCACTAGGAGACACCTAAGTTAACTCTTTTCTAAAATTTAAAATGCTTGTAATTGTATTAAATGGATCTTTTTGCTCTAAAGACTCAACACCCAGGAAAGCTTTGGCCACTGTGTCTTCATTTATTTTCTTGCAACCGCTCCTCCAGGAACCACAGGAACACACCACCACACTTCTTGGGTCTCTTATCCAGTTTCCCAAGTCCTCTGGATTTTCCTTTTTGCTCACTGGTGTTCTGGGAAACCCATCAGCTGGCGTTGCCTTGTGTTGCTTTGGTTGTCGTTTTGTCAAAACAAGAACACTTTAGAGAGGGGAGGGAGGGAAAACACTAATAATGGCCTGGCGTTTACTGCCACGTTGCACGGAGCACTGTGGCCTCCCTGGGGCAGCACAGGATTGCCTCATAGACCCAGCTCTCCTTCTGAACTTCTAAAACATAATTTTGCCGAGTACTCCAAGTCTGAGTGGCCAACGGCCTTCGTCCCAGCAGCTTCCTCTGGCATTGTAGAATCACGCCTTCTGCGGACTCCAGGGAGATCCACACTCAGACTCGCTGCAGCAGGGGGAGGGCATCTACTGTGCGCACACGCAGAGTCCCTTTTCTGGCTCTGTCTGAGGCCTCTTGCCCACATTTCCTGTGCACATGGCAGTTCTTGAAGCCTGCGTGCAGGAAAGGATCTGGGCTACAAGTGCTCAGCCTCCTGTGGACCCTGACACCAGGGGTTGGGGGGAGACGGCCACCTGGGCTGTCCCTTGGCATTGTAGCCACTGCCAGGGCAGCTTCCCTCCAGCCCCGGCCCACAGCCCTGTCCAGAATCATGAAGTCTCCTCTGGCTGGGGCTCTGGTGGGACAGTTGGGGCGACAGGACTGTACACCTTACACCAGTGTGCCCCCTGGCCCAGAGACAGCTCGGACGGGGGCGCCAGGGCTCAGCCTCCTGAGGACACAGGCCACCGCATTTGATAACCATTTTCCAACTGAATAATACATCCTTATGTTCAGTTTCCATTTCCATGTAAGCTACCTAGATTCATTTTTCAAAATTGTTCAACACTCTGGCTGGCTAGTGCCTCTTCCTGGCAGCTCAGGGGCACTGCTTATTCCTATAGTTCTTCTATCAAGAAATGGCCCACCAGGGCTGGGGTGGTAGCTCAGCAGAATATGCCCTTGCCTGGCAAGCGTAAGGTCCTGAGTTCAATCCCTGGTACTGAGTCTGGGCATGGTGGCACACGCCTATAATCCCAGCGCTGGGGAGTCTGAAAACAGGAGGACCACTGTGAGTCTGAGCTGCGGGTGAGACCTTGTACCAAATACATTAAAAAAAAAAAAAAAGAAAAGAAAAAAAGAAATGGTCATGCTCAGGAAGCTGTTCTGGATAGAAATAGGCAAGATTTGGTTATTTCCAGAGAGGAGAAGTGCGAACCATCTGGAAGGAGCTCCCCAGGGCAAGGTGGCCTTTGTCACCCAGAGCCAAGGCCACCAGAATGAGAGGAGCAGAAGGATTCTGGGCCATCACTGACCAGGACTGAGGATCCTTATTCATTTTCAGTGGACATTTTACACAACGCGTCTACTGACCTAGAAAGGCTTACTGCCACCACCAAGCACCAGCGTGCCCTTCACCAGCCCAGTGAGGGTGAGGCGCCCAGGAGAGGGTGCGAGGCCTTGCTCCCTTAGCCCTCTCCTTGGGTGGCGGGGCAGCATGGCTCTGCCAGTGGGCTGCTCCGAGCCTGGCTCCAGGAGTTTGGCATCTTCCAGAATTTGCGCAGAACTTGCACTAATGCGGCTACCTGCTCTCGGTACAGGCCGCCTCGCAAGGAATCGGTCCACGTGTCTGCGAGACGGAACAGATGTTCCTGCTCTCACGCGCACACCAGCCATGCTCCGAGGAGCACACGCTTGGTCTTAAAACATTCACTTGCACAAATTCAGAATTACAAAGGGCAGCTGAGGTTAACGCCTCGGAAGCTCAGGGGAAGCGACGTCTAGAGAGGGAGGCGGCTGCAGGACTGACTGCTTCATGTTCAAGCCTGCTTCTGGGAGCTGACTCAGCCCGCAGGCTTGAAGTTCATGACAGGACTTTGTCAGCAGGGTGCGGGTTATCTGTTAGTTTTCTAGTTCTGAGGCTGCTCACGTGCAGTCAGGCATGTGTTATTAACAAGTCCTACACTGGAGCGGGCTGTAGGGGTGCACTGAAAACTGTCGGGCGGCGCCGGGGTTGTGGCTAGTGTTAATGCTTCTCTTAGGCAGATTTCTTCTGCTATGAAAACCCCGAGGGACCAAATGGCAAGTGGAAAGTTGACTTGGGCTGGCAGCCTCAGTGTCCCTGGCTAGCTGGTGCCACTGGCTTTGGGGACTGTGGTACGGTGGAAACATCGGGGTTGAAGGATGCGGAAAGCACAGCTGCTCCTCTCGCAGTGGCCCAGATGTGCACAAACGGGAAGAGCAGGGAAGGGGCCGCCACGCTCCCTTCCGGGTGCGCCCTACTGACCGGGCTGCCTCCCACCAGGCCCTGCCTGCTAATGGCACCACCACTCCCCAGCAGCAGCACGGCCAGGCGGCCACGCATGCGGCACGGAGGCCTTTACAGGGACACTGCAGGTCCGATCCTGCCGTCCCTGGAACTCCGTGAAGGAACACGGCGGTTCTTCCCGCATGGTCCGAGCTCTGCATGGAATCAGAGGTGTCTGTCAAGGGGCAGCTTGAATGTGGCCTGCCTGCTGGAGAGGCTGCTTTCGCTCCTTCGAGCAGCATCATCACATGTGGCTCTTCGTGCTACGCTGTCGTTTCCATCTCTGCCGACCAGAATGCTTTAGTCTCCTTTCAGAAAAATAATCTGCCTCGCTCCAACCAGCATTATGAGGTGAATTTTAGGATGCATCTGGACTCCCAGCGAGGTCCCACCCGGACTGCATGGAATGTGGAATGTCATCGTTTGGTAATCATCCTCCTCCAGAGACTGCACCAAATGTGATGGGCACGTGACACATGCTGCTGCTACCGCCTCCCTGCTGCGTGGTGGACAGGTACCACCAATCTGTCCTCGGGACTTCTGTGACACCACCACGCCCTCGCCCTGCCTTCCATGTGCACGGAGCCCGGGCGCAGCCCCACAGTAGCGCAGCCAACACCACCCAACCAAGTTGGTCCTGGCCCGTGTGTCCTGCCCGCCTTACTCAACGCTCCATGTGGTTATGCACAGCGCCGGCCGAGAACCAGCCTGGAGGAGCCCTGGGTGTGCACATTCCTGAGGCCACCGTACATCTCGCTGCATCTGTAGGTGCTGATCTAACCTCCTGTGACACCAGCACCCACAGTTAGGCCTGAAACTTGCTAACCCACCAGTGAACGAACGCACAGGGGAGTCCACTGTGGCTTCCTGGAGCGGAAGGGCGCACACTCCGATCTGGAGCTCGGGCAAAGTGAGCCACCTGCACTTTCGTGGTATTGATTTTGCTGTCTTCCCTCGGGCCCTGCTTTGCAGCCCGGGTCTGTAGCAAGTGGACGTCAGGAAGTTCTGAGCTGAGTACTAGGGCAATGACACTTATGATTGTAACGATAAATCAGTTAAACTTACCAAGCGCTTGCTGTGCCCCAGGTACCAGTAAGTACCTGCCAGGCACTGGCCTAGTTCATGCCCACAGGGGCCACCACCTGCACCTGACAATGGCTTGGAGTGTTCGTGCCGCAGGCCATCAAGACCGCGAGAGGTAGAATCCGGACCCTAACCCAGGCCCACCAGTCCTCACTCAACAGTGCCCCATTACTGTCACCACTGGGTGACTCTTCTTCATGCTGTTGTTGATGTGATGGAATATGCATACATTTGGGACAAGCTGTCAAGGAGTTGGGTCACAGGAACATATTTTCTGAGATTTCTTGTACAACCCCTATTCCTTATACGCTTGAAAAGTGGATCTCTGCAAACGTTCTATTACTGTTCTAGATGGCTCAGGTTTGCTGATGTGTGAGACACCACAGGTGGACTGCTCCACCCTGCCTGCTGTGCCCGTGGCCCCCAGCACCCACCTGCAGCACCATGGGCACAGCAGCACCACTCACCTTCACACTGCAGCAGGAAGTAGTCGGCGCTGTGGCTGAAGGAGGCGCTGAAGTAGGTGCAGTTCTCCACCAGGTCGCAGGACAGGCACTGCCTGTTGAAGTTATCCACCGTGTTGGCGCTGGAAGACAAGGACTGGGCGTGAACCCAGGCAGCGGGGGTGGAGCTCATGGCCAAGGCCAGGACCCTGGGGGGCACTTGGGCTGAGTGACGTCTCTTCTACAAGGGTGCCCACAGGCCCCTGCCACTGCCTTCCTCGTGCCCCACCCCACCCATATCCTTGCTGGGGTACCAGAGTCACCCAGCTCCATCCCATCCCAGCTCCCGCGCCCCCCTCCCGCCTGGGGTTCCCAGGGCCTTGGCTCCTCGGGCGGCTTCTACCTGCACCTATGGCTCAGCTCTGAGCACATGCCGTATCTTGGCACTGCTACGCAGTGCTCACCCCCGTGTGCAGTGCTCTGAGTGGACAACGGGCAACTGGAGAACAGGGGGCAGCTTCTCAAAGGGAAGAGCTCCAGGACACAACCTGGCCCGACCCTGGCTGCTTCTAGACCCGACTCCCGGTGGACGGTGAGAGGTGTAAGTGGTGCTGTTTGCCAAGTGGAGCTGAGTAGACAGGGACGGCCCCGGTCAATTATCGGGTCACGTGAGGAGAGCCAAGCGTCCCCTAACAGGAAGAGGGGGATGCCTACATCCTGGGCGAAGATCTCTGTGCACATCGGCCCAGGAAGAGGCCATGTCGAGCCGGTTCCAGTGTGCAGCCCACCTTCGCGGGGCTGAGATTTCACGGGTGGCAGAGGCAGCGTCTGGTGCTGCTCACCACATGCAGGCTACGCCGCCGCCTCCTCTTTGCACATCAGCTCAGCATCTGGATTTCAGTCATCCAAGCAGATGTGCAAGGCTGTGACCACAGGCCACATCTGGGGCTTTGCCCCACCCCCGCACCCTGTGGGCCGACTTCACACTCTCGGTCAGGAGCCCAGTGGGTGAAGGGGAGACAGCCGTGAGCCCGCGCTCCTCTGCCACCTCCACACTGGGCAGGGGCCGACAGGCCTTGGCTCCACCCAGACTTTCAGGCAGCGGCCTCAGTCCCCTGGTCTGTACCTGCTGTGCACACTCAGGAGGTGGCCAGTGGAAGCCCATCCCCACAAAGCATCTAGGAGGCGGCCTTGGTCCCTCCTCCCTCTGCCATCCTGACAGGAAACACCAGGGCTATAGAGAGCCCTTCCTGTCCTCCTCTTGGCCCAGGAAGTTTCATGTCATCCCATGGACAAGTTACCAGAATTCTAGTGAGCTCATTCCAATCTACCACTTCCTGTGCAACTCGTGGCGAGAATAAAGACACTAAGGCACTCCTGTAGTTAGGGGCAGCCATGGGGTCCTGAGTCCAGCCACACAATGCTGGCTCTCCAGGACAAAGGCCTTGAGCCAGGCCGAACCTGGGTTTCATTCATTTGTCAAGAAGGGAGTGGCTCGAGGATGAGAGACTGAGAACGGCAGGAAGAGCACAAGCACCTTGAGCTGGGCCAGGTGGGAGGCCCGAGATCTACTCCGCAATAGGCAGAGAGAAGGCTGTGTAGGGAACAATCTGTGTCACGTTGTTGAGATAGCATCTAGTGATCGGGGTCGGGGCTTCAGCTCAAGCCCCAGGACGTCTCAGCCTCTATCTGGAGACTCGACCCCAGCAGACAGTGTGGAACACTGGCTCTTCATCCCACCTCTACCTGGCTCACACTAGGGAGCAGCAGGTGGGGTTCCTGGGAAACACTGCCTGCTGTCTTCAGGGACGACCACCAATGCCTCAGTTGGACCGAAATGCATTGCTGAAAGCCAACTGAGGGGATGAGGAAAAGCTCTACCCAGCTCCATACATATTGGTATATGGAAAGAGGGCCAGGCTCAGTCAAAATGGAGACCACTGCTCCTCCCCTAAGGAGTTGCCCAGGGGGTCCTCCACATAAGGCCCTTCGCAGTCCTGGGGCAGGTATCAGGATTCTGTGCCGAGAGAGGCCTCAGGTCTGGTTCTCTCCAGGATCTCCACGCCGCTACTCATCCTCAGCCTACTTTGAGTTTGTGGAGCTTGTACAAGTGTGCACCTGGCTGGGGCAGCACAGCAGCTCCAAACCAGACCCTCTGTCCCCTACACACCCGCTGAGAATGACCCTCTGATTTCACATGGAATGCAGGCGCAGGCAAAGAGTACAGATGCCCACCCATTGCAGAGAGCAGGGAAGGCAGTGTGGAGGGGCCCCTGTCCAACAGGAGCAGGGGCTGACCGGGGCTTTGGACAGATGAGCTCCCCTCCAGGTATTAGAGCTCCCCTCTCCGGCCTTCTGTGTGCTGAGAGGTGCAGTCCCGTCCCACAAGCCTGCAGGGCCCAGGGGAGGGGAGCCCATCTATTGGAGCCCGAGTTACCTGTACAGCTGGCGTCTCCGCGGCAGGTCCTCCGTGCTCAAGAAGTAGCTGCAGGGGTGGTGAAGGGGCACAGGTTAGCTGCCCACTGCCTGCTAGGCACCACTGTCCACTTTCCCAGTGAGGTTCGGATGCCCTGGGGATACCAGAGCCCAGCCACACCTGCAGCCAGGGCAGGGAAGGCCAGCACAGGTTCTTCAGCCCCAGAGGCCTCCCACCCCGGATTGCCTTGGAGCTGTGTGTCCTGTGTCAGGGCGGAGATGGGGCAACGGGCACCTGCATTTGAGACTGGGCATTTCTTCCCTGGGCCTCCATCTGGGTCCCGCGCAAAGTGAGGTCAGTAAAGGCTTGTTGCCTGATTTCTCTGAGCCTGGGATCCTGCCGTTGTGCGCATGGGGCCTCAGGGGCTCTGGGGCATTGAGCTTGGGCCTGGCCTCCACCATCTGGGCATGGTCCGAGCTCCGCTGGGGCCCAACAGCACAGCCTGGGGCTGGCTGGCACAGCTGCTCTGCCTCCTGCCTTGTTTAATTTTTAAAAATGGGAAGTTGAGGAGCCCACCCTGCGCACTCTGAAGCTGAGTAATGCTGGTGGCGCATGCGGCAGGCGTTGAGCTGAGGACAGCAGACACAGGGAAGGTCCACACAACGACTGCTGCCGGCTGGCAGGTGCCCTCACGGGGCGGGGTGGGCAGCACTGTGCCGGGCAGAGAGGCTGGGCTGTAGGGACAGATGTGGGGAGGGTGCCCGGGAAGTGCAGGCGGGTCCCACCGGCTGGGAAGGTGGTGACTGGGAGGGCCGCACTCACTCACATCTTGTTGCGCTTCTCGTCGTAGGACAGGATCTTGGTCACATCCCAGTCCCCGGAGGTGATGGACTGTATATTGTCATTGCTGCTGTTGGGCTGAAACCGAGAGGGCGTCAGGGCCTGACCAGGCAGATGCCTCATGCCACCCTGCTGCCCACGCGGCCCCGTGACAGGAGTGCCACGGCCCATGGCTCGGGCCTGCGCCCAGGGCCCCCCAGCTCCTCCATCTGTGCCCCGAGCATCGGGGGTCTGCACACTGCTATGTGGCAGGCTTTCTCCTCTGACTCTACCGGCCTGGGAGGGGGACGGGTGCATGAGACTGGGCGAAAGGACAACGCAGGCATGGGAGGGGGGACACGGGCAGTGCACTCCACTGTCTGTGGCCCTGGCTGAGGCTGGGCCGGATGACTGGCATGTGTTCTGCACGGGCCTACTCATGTGCCTCCATTTCCCTACTCACATGTGCTGACCTCAAGTAATTTTAAATGATTTCAAAATGAACCCTGGGAGGATGGGTCTGTGACCTGGAGGAGCGGCCCGCCGTTCACGCCCACCCTGCCCAACTGTTGTCGCAGGCAGCTCCCCAAGTTCAGCGCCAGCAGCACCTCCCAAGTCCCCTCCGGGCAGAACCTGCCACTCTGGGAATCTCTTCTGCGCGGGTCTGACGGCGCTGCAACGCTAGCCCGCCCTTGGGAGCCAACGTGAGCGGCACCTCCGGGCTCTATAGGTCCCTGGAAAAGCCACGAGAGCTCAGTTGGGACGCCGCTCCAACACACGCCAGCTGTGGGGCTCACCTGGGATGACGACACCGTGATGTGGTAGAACTTTCCTCGTCCCCCCTGTGGGATCGCTCTCACGAAGAAAAACTTCCGGCCATCCTTGGAGAACACGGGCTCTTCGTTCTGCGGACAAAGACAAGCAGCCCATCAACACGGCCAGCGGGGCGTTCGGGACAAGGTGAGCCAGCATACGGTGAGCGCGAGGGCAGAGCAGCAGAGGGAGAAGGCTGCTGCGGGCGTCTTGTCTTTCCTCCAGAAACAGGAAGCAAACTGCTGGTTTTCTTATTTTATTTATTTGCGGAACTGAGGATTGAACTGCTGGTTTTCTAAAAGAGAAACTGGGGACTTAAGGGGTCGTGGCGCAGGCGCAGGCACACAAAAGAACGTTTCTTAGTTCCTGAAGCACCGCGGAGGAGGGGCGTGTACGCGCCCACGCTCACCTGCCTACACCCTCAGGGTGCACCCCGAAGTTCTGCAGTGTTCTCTGTGACTGGCCAAGACACACCACACACCTGACTTGTCTACAGAGTGGATCCTCCTTCTTTCAATCCTGTCTTTGTTCTTTTCTTTAGCGGAATCCGTTTTGCCCTGAGCAGCTCACCAAGAAGACAAGGGAAACACAGGAACGAGTGACCCATGTAGCCTCACATGTGGGCGGGGACAGAGGAGGAGCTGGCCTTGGCCACGCGCACGGGGAAGGAAGTACAACGGAAGGTGGCACGACAGGCCTGCGGCTCCGGCCCACGGTCAGAACCAGCTTTCCCAGGATTGCGGGGAGCAGGCCTTGGGTGGCCGCCACCTCTGCCTGGCTCCCCAAACCCAAGCCCCAGCAGCCCGGGCAGGGCGGCCGCCAGGAGGGTCTTGCGTGGCAGCAGCCCTGCGGCTCCTGCCCAGAAGGTCCCGTCCGTGAGCACAATTAGTCGGCTGTGACACGTATTTTCTGATTCAAGCCGCGCTGCACCGAGGCTGGGGTGAGAACACACGGTAAAGAAACCTCAGCTGGCATCAGGAGCGCTGATTTCCCCGCAGTGGGCGAGCACGGGCGAGCATGACGTGCCCGGAGAAATAAACTAACATGTGATTATAATGACATTTAATCTTCATGAATATTTGCAATAGAATGAAACCTTTAATCTGCAAATATTGATTTTTCTATTTAGAGCTGGAAGCGTGGTATTTAAGAGAGAGGCGTGGAAAGGGCAGCATTGACTTGCCCCTCTGCACGCGCTTGTCTGCCCACAGCAGGGCAGACAAAGGCGATGTTGCCCAGCTTTCTGGGGGGTGCTCGTGCCTGGGGCAGAAATGAAGTTGAAAGTAATTAGTTCTGGCCAGAAGCACTGCGTTTCCCACAGCAAGGCCTCAAAGCTCGGACGCTGCGCTCACATGGGACACCGGGAAGGCGTCTGTCCGACTGCGCCTCTCGACTCAGTTTCTCACGCTAGAATCCGAGTTTCAGTGACAACATGCGTAGCTCTGGCCCGGGGCCTTGGCTTTCAGTGCTGGCTCTGGATCCCGCCGGATTTGGGGCCGCGTTTCAGGCTCACGGACACGGTCCCGCGGCTGGGTTCACAGCAGGTCTGCAAGGTTGATGCAAGTTGAGCCCTTTAGGTCCTCTGTCCGAGGCAGTCGAGTGTGTCCATCCGCGAGGACCACCCCCCCAGCTAGTCGAGTGTATCCATCCGCGGGCTCCCTCAGCTAGTCGAATGTGTCCATCCGCGCGGCCCACTGTGCCCCACGGCAGCTAGTCGAGTGTGTCCATCCGCAAGCCCCCCCCCCCCTAGTCGAATGTGTCCATCCGCGAGGCCTCCCCCCGCAACCCCAGCTAGTCGAGTGTGTCCCCCAGTGCTTTCTACTTTTCACGTGTGCTTATATGCTCCAAGCTTCCAGGCCCGATATGATGAATTTTGAAACCAAAACTCTGGCGAAAGAAGGACAGAAATCGACGCAGAGGATGACCACACTGATCGCTCTGGGTTCCAGGCCCGAGGTGGTGGCGGTGATGCCCTGGGGACCCACCTTCCCCACAGGGCAGCCGCAGTGGGACTGTGCTTGAGGGGAGAACTGGAGAGAACTCCAGCAGGCGCCCGCACACATCACCCCTTCTGCTTGGCTCCTGGGGGACCTCCGTGGAGATCCACACCGGCTTGGCTCAGCCCCTCTGCTGGCTGCCGGCAACAGGGACTGGCTGCGCGGAGCACACAGAGTCTGCAGATCTACCAGGTGCGCTACGGCGGATGCTGGGGCAGGTGCCTGCGACTTGCTGGAGGTGGGTGGGCGGAGGAGGTGTGCGGCTCAGGGGACCCCACAGGCCTTGAGGAGAAATGCTTCAGCCTGAACAGGCATTCAGCAGCTTTGTGGCCCCAGGGTAGCAGGTCCAGCCAGATGTGATGGACTTAAAGGGTCCCACAAGGTGTCACGATGTTTCAGAGGAGGCGAGAGTGCTGCAGGTGATCTTTGGAAGGCTAGGTGCATGAATTGTTTTAGGAAAACAGGATCTTAGTGAGAAGCTGTTTGAAGTGGCCCCTCGGGCTGAGCAGGGACTCTGGCTTCATGCAGCCCTGGGCCTGCGGTCTGCAGGATGGTTGGGCACACGGGGCCCTCGCTGTGGCCCGGCGCCCCATCTAGTGTGTGCCGAGGGAGGGTCTCGGCTGTGTGGAGAAGGCAGCTGCTCCCCCACCCCAGCACAGTACCTTAAGCTCAGAATCACATCGCGTATTTCTAAGTAGCTGTTCCTTAAGCAATTAACTATTTGCTCAGTAAATGCTGTATGATTTACATTTTAAACCCATAAGAGTGGTGATTTTAATTTATTCTACTGTTTAAAGTTTGCTTTGAATTTTCTGGAAAGGACATGGTGTCCTGAATCCCAGGTGGTGTGTCCCCTGAGCAGGGCTGGTGTTCTTTTGTGGGCAACGGGACATGCGGCCAATAAAGCAGAAAACTCCGCTGGCGACCCTGGCTCTGTGCCCACACTGGCAGTGGTGGGTGGGTCCATGGCCTGCCCTGCCCCCAGGATCACAAGCTGCTGTCCCCAAGGGCTGAAGGCTCACCAGTCAGGACTGCTAGGAACTTGGGGGCTGTCCTGGGGGCCAGGGCAGCAGAATGGGAGTGTTGGCCTCCTTTCTTGCCTGTCCCCAACAGACACTCTGGCCTGTCCTGGCACAGCGGGGCCCTGTGCCACCCGCTATGAGTCAGTTCACTTTCCCATCAGTCAAGGGCCTGCACCAGAGCTCAGAGTCCATACATATTTGAGGGTGAACCCTTGTCTTCATGCTTGGGAAGTTTCGCACACATCCGGGCTCATAGTCCGACCTCATTGTCTCAGAGCTGGCCCTCGGCCTGATTTAGTCCTTGGAATTTTATTGAGGTAAAGATGAACATATTATAAAATGAGAATATGGGCCAGGGAGATAGCTCAGTGGAATAAGTGCTTCCCTGGCAAGAGTAAGGCCTGAGTTCAATTCCCCGTTCCCACGTAACACTCTGCACCTGCTACGTGCTGCTCCCCACCACCCTGGTCCCTGAGCAGCCCTGGGAGCCTCCTATCATCATAAACTTCCCCACCCCGGGGATGGCGCATAGATGGGGAGGCCTGTGTGTGGCTCACGGCACGCGGGCCACATCCTTGCAGCATTATTCAGCATGGGCAGGCTGTCAAAAGCGGGCATTCACACAAGAGAGCGCCATGTGGCCATGAAAGGAGTGGTCTTGGTGCAGGCCACGTTCAACAGGAGAGGTCACTTTTTACAATTAAAACAATTTAAATGGACAAATTCTGCTTTATATTTTGGGTATAACAGTATTTTAAGGTTTGCTTTGAATTTTCTGGAAAAATCAAAATACACATATATTATGGAATGGCCACTTTGAGCTAAATAACATATGCATTTTCTCATGAACCTCTCATTTTTCTGTGGTAAGAGAACTACATAAGATCTATTCTTCTGCTGGGAATATAGCTCAGTAGAATAAGCACTTGCCTGGCAAGTGCAAACAAAGTCCTGAGTTCAATCCCTAGCACTGTTAAAAAAAAAAAAATCTATTCTTCTGGCCATTTTAATGAATGGAACATATTGCCATTAAATATAGATACCGCTTTCCTTCCATCTATCTGGAGCTACTCCTGTGAGAAAGGAGAGCCAGGGCAGGAAAAGGACATACGACACTCGGAAGTGCTGGTGTAGGAGTGTGAGGCTTCCGCCTGTCAGGCGCGGCCACAGAGCGGAGACGGGCCACTCACCCCATGGATGAAAGCAGAGTGGAGAGCCAGGGGCGAAGGTGTTCTCGAGGGCCCGTAGCTGGGAGGTGTGTTGTCCAGCTTTGCTTAGTTCCCATAAATAGAATTTGCCATCTCGATAAAAAGTACGTCTCATCATCTCCACTATAATTTTTTGGGATTCAAATCTGCTTTGATTTTTCCCATTGAATTTTTTTGGGGGGGCAGGGCTGGCGCAGCATGTGGTGCCAGGAATCGAACTGCGCTTCCTGTGCCCAGCCTAAGGTTGCCTAAGCAGGTCTTTTAGACTGCTGAGCCATCTTACCAGCCTTCCCATAGAATTTTAAGACAATGTCCATTCCCATAGGTGGGACAGAAAGAAAGCTTCCTGACCTTTATCCCTCTTCTTTCCAATGCAAGCACATGGAGGAGACAAAAAGAGCTGGAGAGAGGAAATGCCAGGCCAGCCTTTCTCCCTGTGTGTAAGCTTAATCTAAAGGGAGCTGCCACAGCTGGTGTGCACAGGCTCTCTGTCCTCGCTTTGTGGGTTTGCTCCCGCGGCGCTATGGGTGGAGCCCAGGGCCTCATGCAGTCCAGGCAAGCCGCTGCCACTGGGCCACCCCATTCCTTTTGGTCCTAGCTCCTCGGCCCCATTCTAGTGTGTCTGAGTAGGCTGGAGACACGGGCCAGCTCTGAGGGGGAGTCTGGCGAGTCCCAGAGGCATCTGCTTCAGATTCAGACACATCAGCCACACTTTCGTGTTCTTCTGCCATCACAGACTGGATCTGGGCAGCTCTGGGGACCCACTGTTTTGAAGTCAGGCAAGAGCGTGCGGAGCCTCACTGGGAGCAAGCTCCCTCCGAGCCCTCCCTGTGTGGCGTGGAGCTGTGCTGTTCCCACTCCCCTCTGTGGACACTGTCTTTGCAGGAGCTGGGGCTTCGGGGCAGGTGGGGATGAGGTGGGAGCTCCACATCCTTACCTGTTGCTAGGTTACTGTTCCTAGGTAACTAGAGAGGTGTCCAACCCAGAAGGCCCTGGGCAGGGCAGGGTTCACCCGGAGGGGACAGTTACCTGTCTGTGCAGCCAGGCTTCGCTTTCATCCTCGTGTTTCTGTAAAATGAAGCAAGAACGTCAGCACAGGGCTCCGTGTGTGCAGTTGGTGATGCATGGTGGTGCAGAAAGCAGTGTGACTTTGCCCACAGGTGGCTGCATGGTGTGGGGCAGCTGGCACAGGGAGTGAGCAGTCCTGCTCTGCTGTCTGTCCCCATTGTGGCCCAGAGCCCAGTGCTAGTGGCCTTGAGCAAGAAGAATGCCACTGTCCCTAACAACAAAGGGCCTAAGCCCGCGGAAGGTGGTGATATTTCTACCACCTGGGTCACCACTGGCTGGTGTGTGCCCACTTGGGTGTCCCTGCTGATGGCCGGCTCCCTCAGAGTCAGATCGCTCTTGGGACTCTTGGGGTATTGGAACTCTGTGAGTGGAAAGGCTGTGTGGTGGCGGAAAGCAGCTGGGAGAGACACTCAAACAGAACCAAACCGTGCCCTGGCTGGGCACAGCTGCTGGGCTCCACGCTGCCTCCCCAGGTCCCAGGCCTGCCTCGGTGATGGTCTGACCTGGCCAGGCAAGGTTGTGCCTCAGGCTCCATGCACAGGTTGGGTGTGGAGGACAGGTCCCCAGGGAGCACTTGCCACACCAGCCTGGGTGGCCTGCCTGTCTGCTGCCCTCTGACAGCCCTGCAGAATGACCCAAGTCTGCTCCAGGTGACTCAAAAGGGAAGGGAATGCCTGGCCACTGGGTGACATTGTTCTTAGGAACACACCACTGACCTGCTGTCCCGAGGTGGCTCAGGGAGAGCCACTTTTCAGAGTCTCTAGGGAACCCGTGTACCAACCCCACCCTGGGGCCATGGAGCCGGCTTTCCCACTGCATGCCAGGCAGCCTGCTTCTCAGGGCTGTGACCAGCAGTCCCTGTCCAGGCGGGGCAAGCAGCTAAGTTGCCAGGCTGGGCTTCACCTTGCACTCCTCCTGCCTCAGCCTCCAGAGGGCTGGGGTTCCAAGCACGGGCCGCCACGCCCGGCCTTCTAGCCTTTCTTCTACTCCCCTTCACTCTGCCTTTTTCCACTCCTCTCTGTATTCGCCTCCTCTCACCACACACTAGCACTGTGTGCAGATCCAGGGCCCTCAGGACTTGCCCCATCAGGTCCGCAGGGAGGTGCCTGGCCCTTAGGTGGGGAAGTGGCCCTGGAGGCCTGGGCTCTGGCCTGGGCCAGTACCCGCCCCTCCTTGAGCACCACCCAGGGGGCAGATCTCTGGGGGGCCCTGCAACAGGGGCCCTGGGGACACCTCTCCTGGGTGAGGCACAGGCTTAACAAGGCCTCTCCCGGGAGGTGGTGTCTCCAGGTTTTCACAGCAGTGTCAGATTCACCCACCAGGTGGCACCAGAGCCAGAGGCCGCTGAGCAGCTGCTGTGCCTGCCAGGCAGGTCCTGCCCAAAGGAGCTCTGTGGTTGCCTCGCCAGCTCCCTCCCATTGCCCCCTTCCCTCTGTACCTTTGTGCAGACCCCCGTGGTGGCATCGCAGAGGGTCAGGATGGACACGTTCTGCGCCCGGTTCAGCCAGGTCACAGCGACCTTGGTGCTGGTGGCCCACTTCACCATGGTGATATAGTATTCCCTGCAAACACACCAAGGCAGGGGTGAGTCGGGTGCCCAGGAGCAGGGGAGGTGGCACCTGGGCCTGGGCCAGGGCAGCCTACGGTGGGGGTGCACAAAAGGCCACCAGGCTCTGAGTGGGCTTTGTGGGTGATGCGCAGAACGCGGGAACCTAAGGCCCTAGCATGAGCTGGGGAGGCCTGGACAGTCGCCTGGACAGTCACCCCCCTGGGCTGGGTGGCTGCAGGGGCTGCTCCTGGGTTGGAGGCCATACGTCTAGCCTGTGGCCCACACCATGCCCACCACCATGCCACTGCAGACCTGGGCTGTCCCAGGCTCTCTGCCTTCTCTCCTGTTCCTTAAAGACAATTGCCTGGGGCTAGCGTAGCTAATTAGGGACACTTCCACGCTTGGGCTTCCAATGACCGTGGTTGGGTACCCTCAGTACCACATGCCAGCTTCTGCCCCAGCCTGAAAACACCGCGGGGGGGCCCTGTTCCACCCTCCACGAGCCTATGAGACCTCTGGCTTCTGGTGACTAATTCCAACCTCCGAGCATTCCAAACGCTGGCTTTAAGAACCCCGACTGCATATTTAAGACAAAGAAGAAATGCGAAGCCACAGCTTCACATCTTGAAGAAATGAGCATCCTCAAGCAGCTTCCTAGCTAAGTCTGCCCCCCAGCGATGGCGGCCCTTGGGGAGCTGAGCAGCGCTGGCACTGCAGCCCCAAGCCTACTTACTGGCCGCAAAGGGCCACACTGCACTTAAGCCTGAACGTTAAGCCCTCAGTTTAGAAAGAACAGCCCATGCATTAACATCTTTTGTTTTAAAAGAAAAGCAGTGCATGTGCCCTGGGTTTTCCGCTGCTGACCTACCCTGACTCTCTCTGTGATAAGAGCTGCTGTTCAGCACAGTGACCTTGTGGCCTTCAAGGATCTTTGTCACCAAAGAAGGCAGCACATTTGCCACACAATTCCTAGCAAGCTGGGAGGGGTCTCCCTGTCTCAAATCACTTCCAGCTGAGGGGAAGTGTACCCAGGAGCTTGGGGCTAAGTCCCAGTTAACCAGGAAGCTAAATGGCTGGGTGTCTCCCATTTTCCAAGCTTGTCTATTAATTTTGGCAAGTTAGCCTAAATCGGGCAAGCGGGATGAACACACCAGCTCTGAGCTGAAGCTCTGGCTCTGGGGTCACTGGGCTTGGGGAGGAGAGGTGGGGGGCACGGGTCCCAGCTCCATTGCAGCCTGGGAAGCTTGCTGAGGTCAGGAGGTAAGTGTGTTAGTTGACACATTGTGTCAACTTGGCTGAATCAGCTCAGGCGTTCTTAGCATAGTGGTGGAGCCCTGCAGGTGGGCAGGGCCCAGGAATTGAGAAAGGCTTCCTGCTGCCCTGTCCCTCTTCCCTGGAGAAGTCCCAGTCTTCCAAGCAGTGTAGAAGGAAGAGAGAGGCTTGATGGACGCCGCTGCAGCTGCTGCTCCTCCTCTGCTCTTGTTTCTGCCGCATGAACTGGTGTTGTTTGCCCTGGAGCCAGCGGAATAGGGACTGAACCCTCCAGTAACTGTGAGCTAAATAAACCTTTCCTTCCTTCATTTTGAGTGTCGGTTATTTGTCCCAGCAACGAGTAAACAGTAACTAAGACAGTAAGGAAGACCCCAAGGATATGCGCAGGCAGGAGGGCCTTCGAGAGCCGTCCAGCTTTCCTGATCTTCGGTCTTCTCATTTGGGTGCTCCTGAACACAGCTTGTTGCTCAAGATCTGTGCCCAGCTGGCACACTCTGGGCCTCTGAGAGGCAGCATGCCCTCGGTGCCATGCTCCCAAAGGTCCCGCCTTGCACCAGCTTGCCCAAGAGCTGGGGTGCATTGTCGTGAGGTCACTGGTCATCTCTGGACACCTGCAGGTGTTACCACTGTTGCTCAGTCCACCTTCCAAAGTATTTCAAAGTCCGTGTCCAGATCTTGTTTCCCATGGGACACCTTTCACTTCCGGTGACATCCTGGCTTGCCTTTGAGTCTGGCTGGTGGCTTGCTGGGCTCAGGGGTGCCAGAGTGCTGACAGTGACTGGCTGGAGCAAGTTTGGGGCCGGTGAGCTCTTCTGGGACCAGGGAAGTGGTCTGCGCCTAGCAGTCACCTGAAGCCACCCGATGGCACATTGACAGCTGGACTTTGTGTCAAATAAAAATTGATCTTTTTTAAGCAAACCAGGTTACCTTACAAAGACAAAGCATTGTCACCCACGAGGCCTTGGGAGGGCCTGCCCATCACAAGGAGGTGGTGCTGTTGTAGGTGGCTGAATTAGACAGAAATATCATAGGCAGTCAGACAGGGCCAGGCCCTCAAGGAGACAAGATGGAAGGCAAGGTGACTTTGCAACTTGGAGGAGACAGACACTCCCATGTGGGTCACACCTCAAGACCAAGACAAAAGAGGAAGCACAGCTACACACTTCCCTAGGGATGGGCATCAGGGATTGATATTCTAAATAGGTATCAGTCGCCTTGAAAGAGTGCAAATGAGTCACTGGCCCAGCCTCCAATCGGCAGAGACCCTGTCCCGTACTCATGCCCACTTGTTAAGTGACCTGCTTCCCCATGTGGTCCTGGATTTAATCAATTTTACCTGAGCAGCGGTGCTTGTAATCTCATTGGCTGACCATAGTTCTGTCCCACTCATGCCCACCTAAGTGAGTTCCCATGTCTTCACCACCTTAGACCTGCCTCACCACATGGTTTTACTCTATAAAAGTCCCTGGCAGAGACAGCTTCCTGGGGATAATCCCCTTGGGCCTCCCTCCTGTTCTTCTCTCAGACAGGAGCTTTCTTTCCCCCAATAAATATATTCTGCTCATAACCTCCATTTGTCCTAAAATTCATTCTTTGGTTTTAGAGAACATGAATTCAGCCCAGGAACCTTTTAGGTTGGAAGATCATTTTTCTCCCTGTACCATTTGGAGGTTCCCTGTATCAGTGTCATTTGGAGGTCATCCAGCCAACATCAGTTTTGCTCCCTGTGTCACTGCTTTGTGCGAAAGGTCGTTCTGCTGCCATATAAGGCTCTGCAGTCACTGTCCATGCTAACCGGAAGAGAAATCAGACAGCACCCTGTGCGAGAAGTCTCTGCAGCAGAAGTCCCCTGGCAGAGGGCGAGGCCCTGCCCCTGCTGCCATGTGCACCTACCCACCTTCCGTGCTTTCGGCCTAAATCCTCCACACAGGGAGGCAGTGGGGGCAGCTGGCCGCCAGGCTGTGCTCGGGTAAGACCCTGCTGGCCTCTCCTGTGTCCTGAGAGGCACAGATGGGGCTGCCAGCTGCCCCGCGCTGCCAGGTGGGTCCCTGTGTGAAGCAGGGCCAGGAGCCCTGACAGCAGCTGGGGGCAGGCTCCCTTCCCTCCATCTCCTCCTCACCTCTGAGTGTTGGGTGCGCATCACCCAGGCCAGGGAGCCAGTGAGGTAGGACTGTGGTTTTCTGTCACTGCTGTTTAGATGAGTGTCCCCCAAGGGCTGCTGTTAAAGTCTTGGTCTCTGGGGAGGCTGTTGGGAGGTGGTGGGGCCAGTGGGAAGCCCTCAGCTCCTTGAGGCTGCTGTCCACGGGACCTGGGCCCCTTCTCCTTGCTCCTTCCTGGCTGCGATGCAAGCTGTGTGCTCTGCCACAAGTCCTGCTGTGATGGGCTGCCCACCCCGGAGGCCCACGCTCACCTTGGACTGCGAGTGGGCACAAGCTGCTCTTTACCTCCTACATTGCCCGCAGCAGGCTGTGGCCATGAGCAGCTGCCGGGGGACCAGCTCACTGAGAAGCGAAGGAAGGGTGTCTGCGCAGCCCGCAGAGCTGCACTGGGTTGGTGTAGGCTGGCCTCAA